AGAACTCCTAGTGTTCTGGCCCAGCTGGTTGGGGTTGATAGGAGTTGAAGGTCAAAAATCTGGAGGGCACCAGGTTGGAGAAAGCTAGCATGCGTATCTTTAAGTGACATGACATCAGTATTTGGGTGCTTGAACATTAAGAACTGCAGACCATTCTTACATTTTCATCTCCATGTTAACATCATCAAATGACCCACCCCCAAGTTGAACAGAGGGTGAAAGAGCATCCAGACAGTCCTTCACTGTTTTTGAATCCATCTCTTGCCAAGGACTCAAGGAACATCTTACATGCGATTCCTGGAATTAAATTGTTTCCTGGAATTAAATTCTTGAAATCAAAAGACTGAACATTGTAATAAAGTAAGCAGGCTCACCAATAAATACTTGCAAATTCCACTTAGATTTGGTTCCTTTTTATGAATTTCATGCTGCTGCTGGTAACTTACTGTTGTATTAAAATTCTTCATGGAGAAACATGCCTCCCAGCACAGTTTGGATTATCTGTTGCTTTCGGAAGTTCTACAAAGTAATTCAGATTTTGTTTTGCTCCTGCAAGTTTATTCTCCTATCAAGGATAGAAACAGTGACTGTTTGGGAAGCTAAATACTAGGAGGATGAAAGTTTTTGTCATTCTGGCAGAGGTACTACACTACAGAACATGATGTTAGCGTTTTATGTATTTATTAAATTTTAATATGAGAAAATTTCTCTAGGCATTTTACAAAAACATATGATGAATCAAAATTACAAGATTAACAATATAAAATGAATGTGCCAGGACAGCATAGAATATAATATCAAGTATAAGATCAAACTAGATTTGCAGGGGCTAAAATGAGAAAACAAAGCACTGAAATGTTTTTAAAATACATTAAACAATTTTAAGGTGCAATCCTTATGAACGTTCAGCAAGATAGAAGACCTGTAACCCCCACTATTAGTAGTGTTCTGCAGGACTTTTTAACGTCTAAACTTGTATACAATTGCACCTTATTCTTGTACGTCTCAAGTAGGTCTTGTACTTATCATGCAATACAAAGCTGTACGTTAGGACACAACTTCGTACCATAGGACACAGTACAAATGTTAGACAGTATTAACACATTCTAAAATGATGGGTGGCAGGAGATTTCTGTTGTTTTTTTTTAACCAGAATACTTTTTTCAGAAACGTTGAAGTTCAGGGAGGTAGACTTAGCATGTCTATAATTTGCTCCTAGGAAAAATAAGAGAGGGGACTAAATATAAAAAAGAGAGCAATTACAAGTATATGTTGCTTGCAACATATTTTCATGCCTCTGAGCCACTGTTGTAGTTTCTGTTGTGCTAGCAAGGCAGAGTGAGCTAAGGGTGTGATCTAGGAAAAAAGTCTGACTCCTAGTTTCCCCTCTCTCCCCACAAATCTCTATAAATTGCATCCTAAATTATTAAGGGAATGACCCCAGGGCCCCGAGACAGTGATGGGCTATGGGATTGTTCACAGTCCCTCATCCAAGGTTGGAAACAGTGCTGTACTGGCTGACCTCCAAGGCAGGAAACAGCCTTGGAGGTGAGAAAAAGAGAACATTTGGGCAGGGAGGGAGGGAGGGAGGACACTGGAGAGGCCAGGATCCCAAGCCTGTGCTAGCTGCCTTACCCCAGCTCCTGAAAATCCTTTGCTAGATGGGCATTCAAAAGGTAGGGTGGGAGTCCTCCGGCCCTGCATAGGATAATTGTGAGCTTCTGAGTTTATGGGCTTACAGTCACTAAGAGTGCAAGCTGTAGGACTGTGCTCTAAGACTCCAATCCTTACCTGGGAGTATGTGCCACTGAATGAGGTTTTTTACTTCCGAGTAAGCATAAGCATGATTGTGGCACATGATGACTTTCAAATATCACATATTTGCACAGTTTGAGAATTGTTATGTTTGCTGTTCTTTTTTCTACCCCAATTTATATTTCCATCAGTGTAATACAGCATCAAGATAAAAGTTTCATACGAAAGGGGTATATAATTAAAATGTGAAAAAATACTTTAATTTCTAAAATATAGACCAAAAAAGAATGGGATTGCACAAATGAGGTCTTTGAATTGTCTTGCTTCCAGCCTTAGATTACAATTAAAATGGAAATGATGTTTCTCATCTCTTCCTCACAGCCAAGAGAGGAAAATTCTCAGAAGACTCTTGGGTAATGCAAACCATGTACGACTAAATATGCCTTGCTCATAAATGCATCTCAAGGCAAGATTTTTCTTTCCTGAGTGAAGCTTTGGAATGTAGTAGGCCCTGATTTTTTCCCCTTAAATTTTCAGAGGAATCTGGCTGCAGGATACAACGGGACACTTGACATCTTCCAGATACCATAGCCTATGACTCTCATCATTTCTTGTGATGGGATATGCAGGTTAAAGGCAGATGGGAGTTGTAGGCTAAAACATTTGAAGAAGCACCAAGTTGCTCTCTGCTGGGTTAGAATATTTGTACATCCAGCTAAACTGGTCATCTTCTACTCCTCGACACCCTTCATGTATGAAATATGAACTCTCTCAAGTTCTGTGGTGTTCCTCTCTCCACAGAGAAAGAGGTCGGGCTACCAGTTCAATGGCAAACCCTTCCAATGTCCCTTTGTATGATCCCTTGCAAAATATGAGTATGTCAATTTAACACCATCTTGACAGAAAACTCCATAGATGCTTCAATCCCCTACTCTTCCTCCTGACTCAGGTCCAGTCTTCAGCTGGAAAAAAATTAACTGTTTATAAATTCAACATCACATTAATAAAATGCCCCTTTTAAAACAATTCCATACTGTCATTTTTTTCTAGTCAAACGTATTCTGTTATACAAATCCAAAATTGAGCAATGCTCGCAAAACTCAGATTTTCATGTACACATTTAAATATCTTGCAGGGTTTTACTGTGGTATATTTTTTCTGACAAGTTTTTTTAATGCATGAAATTAAAACCTTGTTTTCCCAGATTATGAGGCTGTGCTGACACCTTCTAGGGTAAGTGACAATTAAACAGAACCCATGGATTTCACTGAATCTTCTCCACCTTTTCTGGTCTGGAATATAATGCCCAGCATTAAGAGTAGTCTTTAAATATAGATCTCTCTTATTTAGCATCTCTAGCATTCTGTAGCATATAGTACACCGAACCCTTTTCTCCAGCAAGCACATCTGCTATGTGATGACTCAAGCACATTGTCTGGTCACAGAACCCACCCTGCAAGTAAGTTATGGCCTCTAGGCCCGGAACCATCTTATTTTTTCTTCCTGCCATTACCAAACTGCCTTCTATGATTGCCACAGCATTGTGCCCGCTTTCCCCCTGGGATCACTTTTGTCAACTCTGAAATGGCAGCCCCTGCAAAGTGCCCATGCAGCACATTGGCAAAGTTGCCATTGGTTCATCACTTTAAAAAAAAGACCCCAAGGTTTGCAGAGATTTCAACTGGGGAGGGGGGGGGGGAGTTCCTGGTTATACATTCTAAAATGTGCAGCCTTGCTTTGGCAACACCCTGCATGGTGTATACTTTTACATGGTCTCCTGTAAAAGTATATGGAGCACTATCCATGGACCTTGACAAAGCAAAGCTACAAACAGGTAAATGTGTTGTTTTGCTTCCTATTTGACAGCAGTCAGACAGAGAGCTGTCAAATGGAAAGCAAAACTGTCTGAGATTTTTGCCTGCAAAAGGGGAGGATGTGTAGATCACCCCCTCCAACTGAGAACCTCTAGTTTTTTGGGGTGTTGGACGGTGTTTTTCACACCCTCTCAGGACTCTAGATGATCCATGAGACTTTTTAAAAGTAGATCTCACAGTGTCACTTTCTCTTGGCAGTGAACAAAGTTGCAGAAATCCTGGGCTCATTTTTTTTTTTTTTTTAACGTAGAGAAATAGGAACAGTCACTCTATTTTGCTGCTTGGGCACTTTTAAGAGGGGCTGTCAGTGGCTGTCCCTTCACAGAAAGTGCAATGTAAACTCTGGAAAAAAAGGAAGAAAAGAGCAACCACAAAAGGGGTCACCATCACTACAGGGGAAACACGTTGGCACTTGGTGGACCAGCTGCCAATGGTGGTGGCCCAGGTGACCTCAGCAAAAAACGAGCTGTTTCTTCTGCTCTTGCTAAGCGGCTCACTCACCACTTCACTTTCTCCATGGTGGGATAGTTGTTGGGTTCAGATGACAATGCAATCCACTGTGGGCAAAGCAAGTCTTAAAACTATCCACGGTTTGTAAGGGTGGTTTATCGCCCACAGAGAGGCAACCCTATTGGAACTGGTTTGGGTTTGCCAGAAATAAAAATCTACTGTAGCTAGTTACCCATAATAATTTGCCATGTTATATAAATCAAGTTGCAATGTTTCTTCTGGGAAAAAAGTGGATGGGAGGAACACCTGTTCCCTCATAAATGAAATAAAATCCAATTTACAAGGATAAGGTATTCTTCTAGTCTAAATCATCTCCCCAGTGCGAAATGCTCTTTGGAGAGCATGAGGTAAACATCAAGTGAAAACACAGCTGCTGCAACCTGGCTTTCGCTAAATCTTAGGGACCAGTCTTTTTCTTAATGGAAATTGAAAAATACTTTTTCTCAATCATATGGTAAATTAAGAAAATGTGGCTTTATGCTTCTGTTTGACATCTTTAAAAAACAAAGATTAAGTAAAGCTTTTTCTGTCACTGTCAAAAATGGGTTGATATTTCCTCGTGACAGGCAAACTTAATTAACATCTTAATTTAACTTAAAATAAGAATGCATACCTTCTAATTGAAAACTAAGAAGTTTGTGTTCCTTACAGGAAAAGGATAGTTGTTACTTCTATTCCTAGACAGTCTTCCACTGAAGACAGAGGCAGGGGGATCCCATTACCGAATTTTCTTTACACCATCGGCAGACCAAAGCCTTTTAAGAAACAAACTGGGATGGGATTGTAGAAGCCTAGAGAATGGAAGGAAAAGCTATTCTTGTTGGCTCATTTTACATGAAGAAGGCACAACTTGAGCAGTGGTAAAGTCAGTAAACAAAAATTTTACTGAAATAATTCATTAACACAGATAACGGGATTTAATTTTAAGTGTAAAGCTGATGTCATACACAAGAAAAATGGACAGACCCTTTCCCTCAAGACTAATATGCATACAATAAATATGGAGCCGTACATAATCCGTACACACAAACTTTGCCCCACAGCCATAAAAAAAATTACATTTAACAGTGCAACATATAATTTAATGATTTATTTCATTTGACGCAAGATTTTTTTAAATTCTGTTTTACTTACGAAACACAAGTAACTACTTGGTTTTAATATACATATATACTTTTGACAATCTGTACAGTTTTCTAAACATAAAACTCCCCCCCACCCCAAAAGGCACAATTGTCTATACAACATGTACAAAAAATGGCTGGAGCTGACAAGAAACAACAATTATTGGTCAAGAGTTCATGATTGCACAAAGATTAGTAATGAGTTTGTGTCAGAAAAAAATGTGCTTTAAGTAAAAGGAAGGTTCACAAAGAAACCTTTTAAGTGATACTTAAAAAACACACACACACAAAACGGAACACGCACGCACAACCCAACGCAAAACCAAAAACCCTTAAGTCGCTATAACAAGTCTGTCCTCATCGTCACTGCTGCCATCACTGAACTCCACAATATTCTGTCGCTCGGCCACCTCCTTTTGCCTGTGCACTTGCCTATCTAAAGAGACAGTCCGACGTCTGGGGGAAGTCGGTAAAGCATCGGCATTGCCCTTCGTGGGAGGATCTGATGCAGACGCCTGCTCGACACAAACAGAACTGATATTGCACTTTGGTTTCGTAGGACTCTCGGAGTCAGACTTTTCTGAGGCCAGTTTACCTGGTCTATCCTGCCGCCGGTACTCACTCGAAAGCGCCGGTTCCAACAGATGTTCAATGCTGCGCCGCTGGTCGGCAAGCGCCACCTGAGGAGACAGACCGCTGGGGATCTGAGAGGAATTGCTGTCAGGCAATTTCGCAAAGCCCTGATCCGGACACGTTTCACAGGCCGTGTTACTGGAAGCTGGTGTTTCTGCGATGCCCTGCCCATCTGCAGTCACGGGACTGACCGAAGGGATCAACGTGGGCAGAGCGATGTTTAAAATTTGCAGACCTGGAATGTGTGCCTGAGGGCTGGAATTGCTCTGAGGGGAAGGGTTTGCGGCCAGCACTTGTAGTCCCACGGCATTTAGGGTTAATCCTGAAGGGTGCATCTGCGGAGTGACGTTGGTGCTGGTCAGGCCCAGGATGTTCACCGTTTCCATGCTGAGGGACGGAAGGGACTGCAAAGTGGGCGCGCTCAGGCTCTGGATCCTGGGAACGTTGATCTGGCCAATGGGGATGCAAGGGACAACGCTGTTCACTTCGGCAACACCAAGGGGACTTGCACTGCCAGCAACTGCACAGGCAGGGCTGCCGAGGGCACTTGTAGTTCTGTGGATCACGCTGACAGCGGGAATTGTGAGCTGCACTGGCTGGGCCTGAATGGGGAGAAAAGTGGAGTATGCAGCCAAGCCGGCAGGGACCACGTGGATGCCCCCCACCGGCACCATCCCATAGGGGGTCTTGGTTTGTTGCTGCGAGTGCAAGGGGAGGTGGCTGAAGAGGTGAGTCTGCGGAGGTGCCAATTTCATGGCCTGAGGCGGATGTTCCTCTAGCCGCTGCTCTTGGCTCTCTGGGAAAAGAGAGGTCATTGAAGGAGAAACTTTTGTGGTCTGGGTATTCCGGTCCAAGGGAGGAGAGGGAAGTCTTGTCAAAGTTGTGCTCTAGGATAGGAAAGGAAAAGGGGAAAAGGCAGCAATAAGATGGCTAGTTGACCTTTCTCACTTAAAATGTGCAAGAAGCCTGCCAAAAGACCTGCTGGAAATACTCCCTGCCTTTTTGGCAGATCGTTATTCTCATACTCCAATAGAACACTGTGTAGGTATTTGTGGTTCTCTTGTAGTACAGAATTTCCCCCATTAAATGATATCATGTCTGCTACATAAAGATCCAAGAGTTAATTTTTTAGCTGGAATTTTATCTGCCATTGATGCATGCTCTGAATCTGACAAGATTGTTTTTATGATATCAGATAACAATGCTTACCTATCCTATAGTATCTCTGTTTGTTTCAGCAGCTATGAAGATTAGGTCAAAGAAGGTAGCTAACTGATAGCGAGTAAACCAGTTTTATTTAACTTTTATCATTATTATTTTTTTCAATTTTAACATTTATTTCCCTAATTTTTCACTATGTCTTTTGTAAATTTTGTAATGGCTTTTGGCTAAATACAATAAAACTTGACTTGACTTGCAAACCCTTCCCTGCCAGGCCTCTAGGCTTTTCTTCTTTCTCAATTCCATGTTTTAGTTTCATGGTGGTTCTGCCATTTGAACCTTCAAAAGCATTCCCTTACTCTGCCAGCTTAGACTGCTCCTCTTACTAGGCTGAGAAACAGCCACCAGTTTAACATCTGACAGTTAGTTTTGTTTCAAATTGAATTCAAGAAGGCAAAATAACCTCTTGGTTTCTTCATACCTCCCCTGTGCCAGCATAGATCAAGAATCTTTTCTGCAAAGGGTTTTTTTAGTATTGTAGAAAAACCTACAACCAAGCAAGCCAATTATGCTGCATCAGTGTCGCTGTTCTCCAACAAGTCACACAGACCATGTGGGACATAGAAGTATTAACACAATTTCCTTATGGTATGAATTTCTATACTTTTATGATACTTTCCATGACCAGCAGGGGCAGGTATTTGTCAGAAATTCTTTCTCATTTATTGTTGACCATGGGAAAGCCCTGCTTGCATGTATGGACCAAAGGTAGCCTCCACATGTCTGTACATCCATGCAAGTAACACGCAAATCCCTATAAATATTCCTACAGAGAAGTGCATGCCAATTACATCAGTGTATGAAAAATAAACCCCATTAGTTTAATTATGTCAATAGTCTGTGGTTAACTCAATGCAAAGTTCTGATCTAATCATCACATTTTAGTGTGACTCATTTTAAAATACTGGAAGTTTCACTGAAATCTTTCCAGGTCTGCATGGTTAGCAAACACAGCCAAGGACATCTAAGCATCATTCTGCCAAGAACACACTAAGAATTGCCTCCCTGCAATAATTCTGAAGAAGAACTAAAAAGTATCTGTTCACCTTGGAAGTTACGGTGGCAGTAACAGTAGGAGCAGAACTTCGTAATACTTCTGTATCTGGGTAGTCCACATACATCTGATGGCATGGAGACCGGGAAACAGTCTCGGAGGGGGCAGGAGGTTCTGTGTCAGCTGAGCTGTTTTGCAAGCTTCCTTCATTTGCTTCTCTGCAAATAACTGCGACGGGCGGCCCTGCACTCCGGCAGTCTGACTGCACTGAACTAAGTACTGTCATCTTTGTGAGAAGTGCTTTTGGCAGGACGTCCAGAGTGTCTGTGTGAACCCCAGCATAACAATCCACAATTTTGATTTCTTCATCAGCACTCGAGATCTCCTGAGAAACATTTCTAGATGGGTGATGTTGTGGGCTGGCTGAAACGGACGGAGTGGCGGAGATAACAGACTCAGCCTGGCTGTCTTCATCATCATCTTCGTTGTCATTCTCATCCTCATCTGGCCCATCGGAATCGTCTGCATCAAATCCAGACCGATCATAACCCAGCCGCTGCTTTTCACCTAGGAAAGACAGCAAAAATGCACTCTGCTTAGCTACTTTTGAAAATAATTCTTTATTATACTTCTGCAGTTGCACTTAAGAAGAAAGGGAGATTTGCAAGTTCATTCTTCATTTCACAGTGGCACGAGAGATCGCTGTGCATTTCTCACAGCATCACTCTCATTTCCCCTTCCGAGCATTTACTTCATACTTGTGCTCATGAAGGAGGGGGTGATTAGGTCAGCACCTGGCTCCCTTGTGCTCACCGGACTTCTTTCCTGTCTTGGGCCCTGGCCAGGAAGTGGACAAAGCTGCAATCCAAGTCAGGAAGGCTAGCTGACTCCTTGTGCAGCAGTGTTGTGTGTCTCTAGCTTCTACCTATTAATGATGTCAACATAACAAGCTTGTGGACTGGGGCGGGTGGGGGGGCATCCATGCCCCCCAGATGTACTGCTGACTGCACAGGGTCCTTTCCTCAGTAATTTATGGAGCTGCAGCATCCTTACTTAAGACAGTGGGAACTGCTATGGCTTGAACCATTTAAAAGGTCTGATTTAGAGTTGCTTCTATGTAAAACAGTTAGACTCAATATTTTAGGATAAAATCACACACCTCATCATTAAATAATAGTCCCTTTCTGGAAGAGTCAGAAAGAGAACGCAAGTCACATTGGACAGTCTGGAATTATACATACTATTCCCCAACAGAGGCTGCTTGTTTCATCTGTGTATGTTATTTTTATTTATTTTATTTAAAAATTTTAATACCATCATTCATTAAAAATCTCATGATGGTTTACAATTAAAAAATCATTCAAAAATAAAACAATTAATAATTCCTTAGTGCCAGCACTTGATGCTAAAATAATTAAAATTCCATTTAACAGTAATGTTAATTGATGTAAATATCTGCCTCAGGAAAGGGTTTTCAGTAGCTGTCATCCCCCAAACCCCCCAGCAGTTGTGTATAACATTGACAGTTTTGAAGATGCCCTAACAACTTTTGCAAGATGTCCAACAAATGCTTTGTATCTTATAACATATGTAATTTGAAGCAGGCTCTTTTGAGATATCACAATAAGCACACTACCTTGGAGAAAACAAATAGCACTGATCAATTAGAACAAGTGTTTATTCACGTATTTATTCTTATTTTTAAAACAAAACTCCTTTCCATTTATTGCTAACTATTTGTATCAGTCACGGAGAAACAATTAATTCTGAAACTAAGGTAATTCTATAAATGCACCTGAACTGGGGAGTAATAAGATGTGACGTTCTCATCTTCCCAGAGCACTTCCCCTCAGTGTCTATAATACACTGCTATAATAATGGCATTGGAAGATTTCTAACCCCTTTCTTCCTTTTTCACTGCTAAACTATTCCTTGCGGTATAACTAAAAGCACTTTAATGGCATCAGCAAAACATTAACTGCTTCTGTAAGCATCGGTAGGGAGTGACAAATGTGCCTTGTGTTCAAGAAACGGTATACAACTGGATAAAGCAACTGGTATTTTGTCCAGTATATATATAAATCTATTTTTTCTTCAACTATTGTCATGGAGTTTGATAAGGCTTGTTCGATGGTTCTTCATACAGCTCTTTATATACCACAAGTAATTGCACCGTGCTACTTTACAGTGAGGTTACATTCATTTTACATAGACGTTCACATCTAAAACCTCTTAAGGAATTCTAAACAGAAAAAGAGATAAAGAAATCTGTAACTATCAAGAACTAATTTTGACCAGCTTAGGTAAAAATGTGGCTGCTGTACTAAGGAGTTTTAGAACAGGAAGAGAACACATTAATTATTGACAGAAAAAGATTAAAAGGAATTGACAATGAAACTGTAGAAAGTAACAATCCCACGTAGACACCATATATCCAGCCAAATACAACTGATAGTCAGGTAAAAATATTGTTGATGGTATTCTGCCTGCCTTGACCTTTGTTAATCATATGCATATTATTTACACTAGTCCTTCCTGAACTTCACACCCTCCAGATGTGTTTGACTACAGCTCCCATGATCCACAGTCCAGCACCTCTGGAAAACACCAGGATGGGGAAGCCTGGTCTAAAGTGATCATGAACTTAAAGATAAGGTTCTAAGCATTTTATTTTTACCTATTTATGTACAGGTCCCCAAATACACTCATAATTAGTGCTCATAGTATACATCCACAATGGCAAGAGAGGGAAATTAATTAAGGCAACAACAGGATTGCTGCCAGCAAGAATGGCATATTGGCAGTATTGGTAGTATCATTTCTTATGGAACTTCATACTAGAGGTAGTGTAACACCAAATTTAACTGATTACACTTGCTTGCAGAACCCCAACCACACAGACTACTACTGACATCTACTGGGAAAACTCAGACAGGAAGAACTTAAAAGCCCCAGAGAGGGAAAAATGCTTTGATGTTTGCCTTGAAATGCTAGGGAGTAAAGGACTTGCTCCTTCCTAAAAGGAATGCAACGAGTTGTTCAAATAACTCCCTGCTCAAGCTACTAGCCCTGCACTGAATAACACCCAGCCCTTTTACAGCCAGGAATAGAAGTAGCGGCTGGCAAACACAGGAGATCTTCCCAACAAGGTGAGGCAGCAGACACAAATTTACAGCTTGCTGTCGAAGTTATAAATATATAAGGGAGAAATATTGGTGCTCTATTGGTGTCCATGACTTTTGTTTGCACAAAACAATTTCTTTGCAAAGAAGCCACATTTATACAACTTTTCCAAGATCACATCAGTTGACCTAAGGATACAGTTTCTATCAAAATATGCTCTTTCTCAAAACATTAAAAATAAATAGCAAAACATTTTGGCCTCTTTTGGCTGATAACTCTCCTCCAGGCCTATGCGCTCTCCAACAGCTCCCACAATCTGAACCCCTTATCACCTATCAATGCTTGCCTTCCCAAGTACTCATACACGACAAGGATAGTTATCCTCTGTCTTGTCAGCCAAAGATGTCCCTGAATGTTGAATGTCCTTCTCCATTAGCTTCAGGTCACCACTAGCTGCAACTGCTTCCTAGTCCTAAAAAAAAAAAAGATCCACAGATCTGTAAATGTGTTATGATAAAAGCTGTGGGGCCTTTACTTTAACAGCTTTGCCCTAAAACTAGCCTTCCTCAATCTGGTGTCCCCCAGGACCAGGGCGGGAGGCTAGTTTTAGGGCAAAGAACTGCAGCTCCTTTCATCTCCAGCAAATGCTCATGCTGGCTGAGAATAACATGAGTTGAACTTCATCACATCTGGGGAGCACAAGTTGAAGGTCTAAACATTTATTAGGAGGTAAGTTTCACTTCCTTGAAGCTATGCTCCTAAACAAGTCAACTTTCTTCAAAACAAGTGTACTTAGGACTGGAACACTGGCCAATTAAGAGGACTGCACGATGAAAACCGGGGCCACACTGTGAAAAACGATCTCCCCAAGCTGTGACATGTCACACTGAATGGTTCACCTGGTCTAACAGCTTAGTTCAGCAGCCAGCATTCCAGACATAGTAGCTCTGTATTTTGGGTGGAAATGGCATTCTTTGAAGCAGGAGATGACAGATGCAAGGGTGATTTGGAACATAAAGGATGAAACTAAGTGGTATTTACTAATTCCGAAATGATGGCAAATCCAAAATCTGCTCCTGTAAATTCTCCAGTCAGATTCTGTGCAAACCTCACAGAAAGAGAGGCTATGCAGTCACAGTATCGAAGCTTCACTAATTATTACATGTCAAGAACAGCCCTTCCCATGAATGCACAATGCTCTTGCTCCCCTGCAAACTTCTCTTCCAGACTGACACTCAAACACTACGTAGCCCATCAAATGTTGGATTCAAGTTATTGCACTGCTTTAAGACGTGTGCAAACCAAACAATAGGCTACTGAATGTGTTTGAAAGGAGTCAATACGACTGCTTCAATTTCTGTCTCTGGGTATTAACTGTAATATTTTCTTGCCCACTCTTATTTTGATAGAAGATTAGAAGTAGGGAAAGAATCAGTATATTTTATTGGAGCAATATTATTAACAACATCAACATCTATGCCAATGAAGGATTGCATGAGGTCTAAAAGCTTCCAGGACAATTGTGTTCAATAAAGAATTTGGCTGCAATCCAGAAAATGGCATGCGCAGCAGCAGCAGCCTGTTGGCTGTGAACAAAGAACTGTGAGCACAAAACGCCATTCCAGGGCTTACAATGAGAAAACTCTCGCTTTGATTGAGATTCTCCTTGCCAGATCATTAGCACTGTGTTCAGCTAGACTACATCTAGCGGCTTTGTCAGACTAAATTACGTAGAAGGCTAGCAGCCCGATCAAAACATGCTACATTTCAGCTAATTTAAGTGAACAAATTAATAATAAGGGATTCTTGAACATACTTAGGGTATGTCTTCTGCAATATCTGAAAGAGCAAACATGAGAAGAAAGCCTGTATTTTTCTTTTACATCTACATAAGCTGGAGGTCCCCTTAGGTATTATGCCAATGGCTAACAGCTTGGATCCCATTAAACATCCTTGGTTTCTTTTGTTTGCAAAGTAAAGTTTGTTCTTCTATTTTAAACCTTGGGTAGCATAGCAACACTGTAGCCAAGGAGGAACAACTGCTTGCCTCTAACATCTTGGGAGACAGCTCTTGTATCATCTCCCCAAAGATCTCACACCAAGGGCTGCAACAAACGGACATTACTTTAAATCCACATATAATAGCTGTTTCTGCTTCTTTTCTCTGGAGAAGGGTCAGGTAATCTAATATGGATATTTTAATGCACCGTTACTTATCTTCCCATCATGCTAGGGTCCTGATCCGGATTGGTGCCATGTGCCTACTCTGTTTTTAAAAAATGGGGGTGGGTGGGAAGAGACGCAGCTGCTAGATTTGGATTTAAACTGTCTGTTTTGGCCCAAATTGTTTTCTGAATTTGGATGAGTTTAATGAGCAGGCTTAGAGCTCTTGCTAAAGGGGTGAAGGAAGGGAAGATGAAAGCTTTTCCATTGTGTCAAGCACAATAAGTATTACTCTTCTTCATCATTTACAATGACATAAATTCCACATAATTAGGAGTTGAAAAAACACAGGCACCTATATCTTGAAAAGTGAGAAACACTCAGGACAATATGACTGCTGATCTTGGGAACTGGTACATTCCAGGTAGAGGCACCTGCTCTTGGGACTGCCCAGTGCAGCAATACACCCTCTTCTTTCTTCCACACATATGCATGCCTCTCTCCCAGTTTCCTGGTTCTGTTACTGCTGCAGCCTTCTTTGTGCAGTACATCAAGGAAGGACCAATGCCTGAAGAGAACTACTGTGAACAGTTTTACCAGTTGTACTTTATTTATTAGATTTATATAATGCTTTTTTCTTTCTTTACTGAAGAACTCAAGGTGGTTTACATCATTCTCCTGCTCTCAGTTGTATCCCCACAGCAACAGCCCTGTGAGGTAGGTTGGGCTGAGAGTCTGTGAGTGGCCCAAAGTCACCCAGATGGCTCCAAGGCCAAGCAATGATTAGAACCCAGACTGTCTGAGTCCCAGTCCCACACTCTTAACCACGATACCACACTGGCTCCACTTTAAAAAGGTAATTAAAAAAATATAGAACTGCATGTGCTATGCAGTCAAACCACCCGAGACAACCAAGTTACTTCCATCACATCTTTAAGAAATGAATTCAGATTGATTCATTTACTCTATTATTGGCTGCCAAGTTGGAGAAAGTCCATTAATCTCCTACCCTTTCTGCTTTTTTCAATAAAATTCACCACTCCATCTTTCCAACTGTTCCACAATCCAATAAAATAGTTAACCTAAATCAGGAAAACACTCAAAAAGTTTAAAAAGTCACCCTAGGGCAAAAGTTAGCAAAATAAATACATCAGGTTGGCTATGTCCTAAATCACTACTGGGCTAAAATGCAAGTATAATTTTAATTCCCATCATAATTTACTGAAGTCCAACAACATTCCTGGGCCTGTGTTTCAAACATTCCAATGTCCAAAGTTCTTTTACGTGATCAATGAGAAATGTAGTTTTGCACAGCCTTGTGTATTTTGATGTTCATCCTATCAGTATGACAAGAAAAATGTTGCTTATGTTCTCTTTAAGAATCTGAAATTCTTAGATACTAATAGAATTTAGATGTGGCCCTACTGATACTAATGAATACACTTACCAAGGAATCACAGGTAGAATCAAGAATGTTATGTACATAATAGGGCTCACAGAAGTTGACTTCCCCATGGCTATGGAGACTGTCATGGATCTTGCTGAATTGGGTGAGCTGTGGCACAGGGGCTAGATGCACCTTCCAGAAGATTCTTCCGTCTGAATTTTAGGGATCTCCTCCTTCATCCTTCTATGTCACAGCCCACAACATGAAACAGCATCTCCTAAGCCTCTGGGTAGCATTTTTAGAAGAATGCCATGAGAAGAAATCTGCTTCTGCCTGCTTCATGATGCATGCCAAAGTCTGGATCAAGCCCATAATTCTAATCTTACAGAAATAGCCCTTTATAGCAAGATGGGTTTAATTATATAGAGCAAAATGCTGAGTGCAGTTCATTTGTGACATCTGCTTTTTATTTTAAAATCTTTGAAAAAAATTCAGAAAAGATTTTAGAAAATGATTTCTTATGAGTACAAAATTTGACAGATGGGAACTGTGTGATTTAAATAATTACCAGAATAACTACTAAGCAGTGTACAGTGAAAACTGGGCAATTCAGTCAATTATGTTACCAACTTCATCTCCCATATTCTGGCAACTGCATCACCTCTCAAAGTACAACAGCTACGATCACGCATACACACAAATCTTATTAAAATTACTTAAGATCCAAAATGCCCAGTTTTGAGAAAAGGAAGGGAAATATTTAGGATAGAAAAATATAGATTTAAGACATAGAAAATGAAGTGGCATTTCAAAAAGAATTACCATATTCTTCTATATCCTGATCCTCTATTAATCCCACTGAGACTCCCAGATCCATGCATTTCTTGCTATGCGCCTTGGACTTCATATGTTTTGTCAAGTTTCCTTAGGAAAACAAAGAAGTAATACATTGCTTTATGATAAAATGCACATGTGTATGTACCAGCACTGAACTGTAACAGTAAGCATGTCAGTCACCACAGAAAATTAATTATATGTAAAACTTAATTTGTGCCCAAACTAACACACTAATTCTCCAATGTACTGCTTTCTATTTAATACATACTAGAATGAAAGGGAAGAGATACATAAAGAACTGGTATACTAGAGGCTTATTTCCTTATGAGAAACAAATCTGCTCTGAATGATTTTATATATTTGCTATCTTGTCTGGAAGTTTAATACTACATTATTATTATTATTATTATTACTATGTTGGCTGAGACACATTTGGAATTGTAGGCTTCTTTTCCTGCCTAAACTTGCCTAGGAATGTACCCAAAATGACTTTTGCTCCTAAGACCATCAGCATTCTTTCTGTTACAGACATCATCAAAGTGAAGCTGGACATGGCCTGGATTTAGTTAGTAAACTAGTAAAGGAAAGCAGTCATGGCTGTTTAATTTTTAATACATTTGCTACCTCACACAATTCATCCTTGCAGTATTTCTTCTCCTATAAAATAGTTGCATTGGATTGTTGGTCTCATAACCAACAGTACCACAGAAGCAAACAAACAGAAGTCTTATATCATACAGTCATATATCATGGATTCCTCTATGGCCATAAAAACATATACAGTGTATTTATGGTGTGCTTATGTTCAAACAAGCAATAAATATTAACTGTTGCTATGAGGAAACTGTATTTATGCTGAAGTTTTGAAATGAATGATGTCTTGGCTAACATTTATACAGAGTTACAGGGTTTTAATTTTGTTGTTTAGGCTTATAGTCAGACACAAGCACTTCAGCTTGCAGTTAACTGCAGTGCTTGTTGAATCTGTTCACAATCAAGGATCGCCTGAACACACTAATCTACACACACAGAATGTTTTCATCTCATCCTTACAGTGGTATGAGGTGGTGTACCATCTTCCTATAATTTTCTTTACAATAAACTAAGTAAAGCAGCTTCCTATTAGAAAAAAAGCTAAGAAACAGAAGCTACATAGTTTCCCCAGGCTGCCAAACCAAGCATGTAACAAATCTAAGATCTAGCCTGCAAAGGGAAAAAAAATATCCTTCCTAGGGTAAGCTTGCCTGATGGCTTCCTACCATCTACCAGCTATAGATACAAAGCATCCCTTTAAAAGAAAGGTTTCTTTTCTGCTGGGGCACATCTTTGTCTTGTCCCAAAAGAAATTACACAGCCTCTGCTGGGATCATAGCGGTCTGGCTGTTTGAAGAAATTACACAGCCTCTGCTGGGATCATAGCGGTCTGGCTGTTTGGGCAAGGAGACATTATGGGCGCTCGCTCGCTCGCGCTCTCTCTCTCTCTCTCTCTCTCACACACACACACAAGGGGGGGGGCAAAAACCCAGATTATGCCCCACCCTCAATTTATCCAGCCACAGAAGACTGTTGATGCTTCTCTTGTGGCTGTTTGCATTTTCATTAGATTATGTTGCTCAAATTGTTATGTGATGCAATGCTTCAAAAATAATGTTGAAATGTGCTATGAATCCCACTCATTCCACCAGAAAAATAATTAGTAGGGTAAGTAATAAATTGAACTGCAATGTAAGTGAACATTTTACATATAACTCCCTTTTAAGCTTTATACAGAAAGCTAGGAATCCATCAAATGGTAGCTGGTGGCAAAAGGGTTGGGAACAGGGCACAGGAAAATGGGATGTGGTCATCCGGGTAACCCACAAGGCCAGAATGAGACTCCAGAAGGGCGGGATTGGACCCCCATGGACTGAGGTTTTGCACCTATTTAATCATCATCTAGTCGGCAGGTAAGTAGATTATCAGAGAAACAGGTAAGTTTATTTTTATCTTAACATTTATATACTGTCCCATTGGCACAGACTCTGGGCAGTTTAATATCTAGTTAATATTAGAAGTTCCCAAAGTAAAGGCATTTCACCAATTCATTAGTTTTCTTATAGCTTTACATGTTCTTTTCTACATCCTTACCAGAAAAGCAATGACTAAAAGGCTGGGGAAAACATAAAAGCAATGAAATTTAACAGGTTCACGTACCTTTAGTCTTGAAGGAAAAATTGCAATAGTTGCAGTGATAAGGACGGACATCAGTGTGTGTGCGAATATGTTTCTTCAACATACTGGGCTTTTTACAGCGAATTCCACACTCTTCACATATATATTTTCCTCTTCCTCTCCCACGGACATATACATATTCTTCATTTGACTTGTACCTAATTCAAATAAAACAGAAAACTCAATTAAGAATATCAGAATTCTTGGTACAGATGTTATGTCAGAAATTCAAGCAGCAGATGAACATGGACATTGGGACAGATTACCAATTCACATTTTAGATGTTGGTTATTTTGCTAAGTTAGCACACAAGCACATCTTAATTGACTTGTACATTAACATATTTGCTAGATATTTTGGTAAGAAAAAAATTATCACAGAGGAAAGTTAACGAGGACTATGGGAATAGGAGCTGGCTACAGGAACAAATGCTACTGCCCACACATTGCCAAGCCCTTTCCCTTTCATGTGAATTTCCCACCCTTCTTTATATCCTCAGGCATTATGTGTCTAGCCAATGGTTAAAAAATGGAGGTCTGAAAACCACATTTTGAAACAATAATAAAACATTGTGTCTGCAATGGACCTCAGAGGGAACCCATGGAAAATACATCAAGAAGGACTTTTAGTTGTATGCACCTCTCTTTTCCCCCTGTGTATCCCTTTTCCCTACAACAGGGATGCGGAATTATTCTGACATGTCTTGCAAACCTTTCCAGTCCTCATTTTCCTCATTCACTGCACACAGCAATTGTGAATCTCTGTTTTTTGAACTTGTATTATAACATCAGTGAGCTATTATGGATCATATTCTGAGTAAGTTGATGAACAAAAACAGCCAACTACCCACTAAATGGTACCCATTTCAAAATGTGTGACAGCTTTCCTAGTGTGAGGAGCTAGTCAACAGTCAGCCCAGAAACCAAGGTGAGATACTATAAGCAGTATCACCATCTCACATTTACAAAAATAAAGGAAGCAGGATTAGACTTCTACTTACTGATGTGGCTTACAAATGCTCAGACTACCAATAGTCAGTTGCCTACATAGTGGTTTAAGCATAGTCTAGGTTTCTCGCATGCAAGAAATCAGGGGTATAAAACCTCAAGACTGGGGCCAAATCCAGTGCTCAGGGGCTCCCCAGATTGCCATGCCTTAGCCTTTCCCTCAATGGCTGACTGTCTCAAGGTTTTCCTGTATGAAAGGGTGATACACCTCTCCTAAGGCTTAGATACTGGCATTTATTTATTTCATTTTTATACCAGCCAATAGCTGAGGATCCCTGAATTGTTAACAAAAAGAAGAATGTTAAGCTGGGCATGGGTAGCCTGCTCTTTTTGCCTCACCCACCTCTGGTATACAGGCCGAAGCGCTAATCACAAATAGAATAATATCATCTCGTGAATATTTACAGGAAGGCAGTTCTGCACAGCAAAGGCTTCTAGAATGTTGGACATTTCATCCCAAGTTCACAGTAATTTTAGTCTGAAGAATTAAATGTTAAAAAAGCAGGGCAGAAAATGGCTGGAAGAATAAGTGATTTGAGACTGCAGGTACCAAGCTATGCAGCAGCAGCAGTCTGTTGGTAAGTAATTTGGACCATCACATTGTTCCATCAGCCAAATAATTTTGGCTCTTCAACTGTGCAACTATTGATGGGCTCTCAGTTTAATCACATTTTTCACATCTCACACAATGCCTGTAATAATATGGGTCTACTTTAAAAGGTGGAATAGGGAGAGGGAAGAAACAGACTTCAATACAAAGCAAGTACTATTGTATTATACTACTTTTAGAAAATACTTACCCTCCATCAAATATTTTAACCCTCCTTGGCTCACTTTTGGCTGAACTTTCGTTCTCTTGATCAGTGCTTATTTCTTTATTGCTGATTTCCCTTGCTGCCTTTTGTTTAATTAATGCCCGCTGAAAGAAATGTAAATCCATAATTTTATTATTAGAAATACATATGTACTTTCTATTAGACTACTATTACTAAAAAAAATTATCTGGAAATCTCATTGTCAAAGGTTACAATTTTCAAGTGTGATTACTTAGGTGGTATAGAGCAACACACTGTGTTTCATCTGTGCAGCGCTTGTACCCGAGTCCAAATGTATGCACACCAGTACAGTAGCACACCCAATTAAACTGGTTCTGCCTTTACTTGCTTATTTGGAGCCAGTGGCAGGTCAATCATTATCTGTTATCAGGCTGATTGGATTGGCAACCCACTTTTTTCTCCAATTAAAAATAATGCTCAAGTAGATATGAGCAATGTGTATGAGATATGGGAATTTTTTTTAATTAACACTACAGGGTTACAGCCTAAAACTATGTACATTTACTTGGAAATAAGCCTCATGAAAAACAGTAGGAATGAGTTAAGGTAAGAGGTTTGCACTGTTTGAAACATGTTTAAGTAAGATAAAAACATCTGAGGGATTTGTATTATACTGCCAGGTACTAGTTCCTGAATGTCAATGCTGCCATATCCAAGCAGCCTAACTTCCTCAATACTAAAAGAGGACAAACAGACACCTACAAACTCAAGATCAATATGCTGGTCAATATAATCAAGACTGTGCATATTCTATAATCATACTGTGCAAGGATGGAAATATATACTAGGTATAGAATTCAGCATACTAGAAATTTTACCAAGCATTTTAAACAAACAGATTGTTTCTAGTCCTTCATACTGTGGGGAAGTTCAAAGATTTGTGTGGGCAATGCCCAGTGAAATTTCAGATGAAGGGAGTAGGAAGATGAAGCACAATTCTGAAAGAGGGTAGACTTTAAAAACTATGTGTGCCCTTTTCCATGATAATCAGACAGAATAAACTATGATAAATATTTATGAATTTGATCAAGTTAAAATCCACACCAATAGTACAATTCAGCTTTTCTTCCAGCAAAGTATTAGTTACTTTTGTTAAAAGTATTATTACTATTATGCACAGAGTATACAAAGACCTGGGCACCAGATTATCAAAGAAACAGAAAAATTGAACCTAGAACAAAATCCCATTAAGCGATGGTATGGCACCAGCAAATTAATAGTTAACCATAGCAAAAAGCTTCATGGATTACTGCATCCTAAAATGACTGGTGCTGATTTTAATAGAAGCAGGAATGGCTTTTGAACCCAAGGCAACAATACCATAAACTAGGGAAGGCATCCTGGTCATCTCCAGACGTTTGGGACTACAATTCTCAGGCTGGTTAATGGCCAAGTAAGGGACTTATAGTCCTAATCATCTGGAGCACGCATGTTGCCTCTCCCCACCATAGTCTGTCCTTATTGTCCGAGTACACTGGACACTACTAGTGAAAATCCTTTCCTGCCCCATTATTTGGAATCCCGCTCCAGGACAACACTTTTTTCCTGTGGTAAACATCCCTCTAGTCCAGATATTCTATATACAATTGTACAATCCTGGACATCACTGGCTGATGAAGGAATGGCAGTTCTTAGATGGTTCTTAGGGGGATGAGGAGAGTTGCAACTCCAAGCAACTGCAATAGGCAGCAGTTGAAAACAGAAACAATTGCATGTTGTCTTTTGAAATGTGAGAGGCTGAATCACTAAATGCTAGAGCATCCCAGTGTGTTTGCTATTGTTATGGGTTAAGCATGTCATTTCAAAACACCTTTATATCCCACTTCCCAAGTACTTCAGTGTGTGTGTGTGTGTGTGTGTGTGTGTGTGTGTGTGTGTGTGTAGCGAGTGAGTGCTTTTGGGAAGAGAAAAAAAGAGGGAGCACAGAAAATTGTCACTACAAAAGCATTTATATGGTTACATACTTGAAATAACGTATCAGTGTTACATTTCTGCCCAGACCTAGCTGTCTGTGCATGATTTAGTAGCTGAAGAAGAGAGAGATCCCAAAAGCAGGTTCCCACCCCCTCCATGCATCTCTACTGCTAAAGAAAATTAACATACCAGTTGACTGAAACAGCAAAATACACTATAGTGTTTCCCTTGGTTATTATTTTTATCTCCCATCATTTTCCTGCATATAGACTGAACTCTTCATGTACCAAAAGAAAGCTAATCTTTCCAAGAATATAGAATAGGAAAAAACATTGGCTACATTCCAAATTACTTGATGATTATTATAACCATACATATAGTTTGGCTGGCATCAGTAGCAAATTTTCTCATCTCATTTAAACATGACATTACAGAAACTCCAAGCTTTAAGGTTCTTAGTGATGACACTCAAGACAGGTTTAAATATCTGTATTGTCTAGGGTCTCTCCTGTCACTATGTGAATTACTGTAAGTCCAACCCAATAGGAATACAGATTGCAGAAATCCATGGAAATAGAGAGCAGCAGTTCAAGAATACACAACCACCCTTGGGCAATTCCCATTCATGCCAATATAAACAATGGGTTACTCCTTGTCAGAAACAATAGGAGACAGAAATGCCCATGAAATCAGTCTGGAGATGGGGATAAAGACAACAGAAAGGAGTTCATTACAAGCAGATAATGAAATAAGTTTATCTCTGATTTGCAAGTGGATAAACTATAAGCTTGTGCTGACATTCTCAAAGAAAGGGGCAGCAGTAATTTATAACTGTATTTGCAGAACAGGCAAAATCACAAGAAAAGACAAAATACAACTCCCCTTAAACTTGTGTAAATATAGTAAATTACAGTAACATAGTAAATTCTGTAAATGTAGGATGCAAGAACAACCATCTGGTCTCTGCTTAAATACTTCCAGCAAAGTGCATATCATCATTGGGGTCAGTCCGTTCTATTGTCAAATAGTTTTTACCACTGGGAACGTCCACTTAATGTTTAGATGAATTCTCTTTCTCTGCAATCTCCCCCATTGGTTCTGGTCCTTCTCTCAGCTCAAAGAATAGGCCTGCTCCATCTTCTGAACAACAACCTTTCAGATATTTGAAGACTGCTATCACATCCCCCCTTAATCTTCCTTTCTGCAGATTATATACACCTATTTCAAGTATTCCTCACAAGCCTTGATTTCCAGACTCCTCACCATCCTGGTTGCTCTTCCTTGAACACTCCAGTTTCTCAATTTCCTCCTTAAGATGTGATGCCAGGAAGTGGACACAGGACTCAAGAGGAAGACTGATTTTGGCAGCACAGTTCTGGACCGAAGTGTGAAAAGGGAAGGCAAAAATATCTGATTGCAGTAGTTAAAGATGACCAGAGGACCAGGCAAAACCTTTTAACAACAAGCATGGTGTGATACTTTGTCCATGAGTTAGAGGGAAATAAGAATGAGACACAGAATTCAATAAAGGTGAAAATAATTTTTTTTTTTTTGGGAGAACTACTTCAATTTCAATTTCCATACAGTAGCTATCTTTCCTTCACACTCACTGAATGTGAACAGTAAAACCACGTAAAAAAGACAGTATAGCAGTGCTATTATTGCTAGTCACTTTCAGTGCTTTCCTGGGAGGAAGGCAGGATGTAAGTTAAATAAATACATAGATGATATGTAGTTCTGCTTCTCATTTACATGTTTAAATCCCAGGGAGACAGTGCAGATGATACAAAACTGGGTGGAATAGCAAGCACCCTAGAAAACAGAATGAAGATCCAGGATGATCTTGATAAACTTGAATGCTGAAAGCAACAGAATGAGATTCAATAAGCAGAAGTGTCAAGTCCTCCATCAAGGAAAAAGAAACCAAATTTATTGATACAAGATGGGGAATAGATGAGGCTCAACAGAACTGAAAAAGACCTTGGAGTGATTGTGGAGAACAGGCTAAATATAAGCCAACAATGTGATGCAGCCACCAAAACAAAAAATGCTATTTTGGGATGCATTAATAGAAATATTAGTTCCAAATCATGAGAAGTAGTAGTTCCCCCTATAGTCCTCACAAGTCTGACCCATCTGGAATACTGTGTCCAGCTCTGGAAACCAAAATTTAAGAAAGATGCAGAAAAATTAGAAAGTGTCCAGAGGAGGAGAACAAAATGATCCAGGATTTGGAAACACTGCCCTATGAGGAGAGACTGAGAGAACTGGGCATGTTCAGCCCTGAGAAAAGAAGACTGAGGGGGGATATGATATAAGTACCTCAAAGGATGACACAAAGAGAATGGTCAAGATCTCTTCTCACTGAAACAAGAGTGTAGGACACAGAATAATTAAATCATGTTGCGACAACCCTGGTTCAGGCTAGATGTCAGGATAAGTTTCCTCACTGTCAGAGCAATATGACAGTAAAACCAGTTGCTGAGAGAGGTTGTGGGCTCTGCCACAGAACAGACATCCAAAAGGAAACTGAACAGTCATCTGAGTGGGGATGGTGTAAACTGATGTCCTGCAACAGCCAGGGCTTGGACCCAATAGCCTTCATGGCCCCTTCCAACTCCAGTATTCTATGATTCTATGAAGTCTTAAATGTGTGTCTGGAGTCAGTGCTGAAATAGTAAGAGAGCATACACACTGAAGCTGAATCCAGGGGCAATGGCACACCATGCTCAGGGAAACCTGATCTGGACAGGTGTGTAACTGGTTGCACTCAGATCAGGCTTTACTCCCCCAAAGGATTCTTTTGGACTTAATGCTAGCTAAGATGACCAAAACAGCCCTGGTATCTGTGTGGAAAGCTTTCTTCACCGTTGGCTGATTAGCTAGCTACATCCCCACAGTATTCATGCCCTTGTTACATCTAGACTGGACCAATGTGGGATTCTCTGGGAGGACAGGGCAAAAGCTTCAGTGGATGAAAAATACAGCTGCCAAATCACTTGAGCAGGCCAGGTGATTGGAGTATATAGCACTGGTATTCTACCACATGCATTGGTTGTCAGTATATTTCTGGGCTCAAAGCAAATTGGTGCTTGCTGCCTTTAAAGTACTAAATTGTTTAGGAGCATTTTTAAGAAGAACCATCTGCACCTATGGGTCTTATAATCAATCAATCACTCACTCACTCACAGAGGTCTGTTCCTTTGACCAAAAGCAGGATCCATCAGGTTGGCAGACTTGATAGAGCTTTTTCCAACACTGTGGAACTCCCTTTCTTGGGAAATTTATTGCTTCCCTCAATAAATGCTTTTAAACAGTGCCATAAAAGCCAGTTGATTGAATTTGCATTTAAGTGAAATTGTTATTGACTGACTGACCACTGGTGTGAAGCTGAGGAATTTTAGCGCTTGCTATTTTATAATTCATACTGAACATTTTGTTTTAATATACTTGTATTTCTGTAATTGTTTAGTTTTTTAATTTAGTAAACTGCCTTGAAGGATCTTCTTTGCCGAGAAAGGTAATATATAAATTCATAAAATATGAATATGAATAAAATATGGTGCGAGTGGGGGAAATTCTGCAAGCATAAAATCAGCTAGAAGGTGGGGAAAGATATTTTCATATCTGTGTAATGGATGGATAAGGTTGTGTGTCTATTAGGGAGTGTGTGTGTGAGAGAGAATGTAGGTATGATGCATGTATGTTTGGAGAGGCACGATCTTGAAGTTTGTGCTTGGCAGTATGGAATATGAATTGTGTGTGTGTGTGTGTGTGTGTGTGTGTGTGTGTGGAAGGCAATTATTTGAAGAAGTTCCTGTTTTAGGCAATTCATTTTAAAGGAGAAGGTAATTTGGAGACACTGTCTATTTCTGAAGTTGGTAGGGTTTTGAAACAGAAAGCTATTGATTTGGTTTGTAGCATCACTAGTTTAGCTTTATATGAAACTGGCGGTGTTTTGTTTTGTTTTTTGCAATAGTAAATGTTGTGATTGCTCACCCAATGCCCACAACAGTCAGTTGTGACAGTAATCATTACTTGTCAAAAATAGAAACAAGCCCATGGCCCTTACATGTTGGAACTCTTGACAGATGAACAGGAATTAAATCCTAAAGGCGCAATCTTTAGAACTGGCATCAAAGTAATTGATCAATGCAGCAATCTTTAATGTGCCTTGGAAAATACTCTATTTAGCCATTTGCATCTACCAGCACAAAAAAGGATTCTTTTACTACTTTATATTGTGACATTTCCCCAACAATAATGCTGCCTAACTTGGTGTCAATTGCCTCTTTTACCCAGTACATGACCTACAATTAATCTCCAGTTTGCAAGGAGAAGGGCTGTTACCTTCTTTTTCTTTCTGTTTTCTGTCTACTCGGGGACCTGTGAGTTTTAGCAATGGCAAGAGAAACATCAAGTTACAGATGATCTTTATGTTTTCAGAAACAAGGGTCAGCCATTGCCTGCTTCTTTCTTCCAGAATAGCAGGCTTTATCTGATAATTGCAGTGATTTTATCTGCAATGATCATTCTAAAATTGAGCCTACTCTGCAGCGCTTATGGCCCTAATTTTTGTTTTTTCCTCCATCCACCACTTCTTATACTACCTGGCCTGATTGAGAACTTGGTTCTGCTTTCAACTGACAACCTGAAAGCTTGCACAATACTAATTATTATCACTGTCAACCTCTGGAGAACTTAAAAGCTTGCATAATCATTTGGAGTATTTTGGTTGGTTTTAATAAAAGCATTACCTAACTTTCTCCCCTGGATTTTTTTACTCATAGATCAGAGCAATTATCATTTGTGTATTCTTTATCCACAATCAATTTAGGGCATATGTTAATACAAAATGTTTTTAATATAAAACATAATCACTGGAATGTGAGATAGTAAAACTCAGAAATCCCTTCTCTGAATGCACAGATGGTTGAAGATAGAGAATGCACATTTTTCTTTCAAAGTTTCAAAATCAACCTTAGGATTTATGATGAAGAATAAATTTCCTTTCCACTAACTGCAAATTTTATGCCTACATTGTACATTTTTATTTAAAAGAACTTATATACTTGATGACTTATAAACCTGTGTTTCAAAGAAGGTATATTCTCCTTCTAAAAAAACAGATTATCTCAGTACAATATACTAGAGTATTATACAATATAGCTTACCATAAACCCTTGAGAAACTATTTTACAGATATTTTGAAAATTACTTAAAAATGAGTAAGGTACCTGTGCAATAAGAAAACATGCATGGTGCAGCAGAGTTATTTTGTTTAGAAAATGCATCAAATTGATACTACTTATTAGTATAACTTCAGCTTTTCTTCTCCCAGCTGATGTTCATGTAATCAAATTTTACAGTTCTTCACAGCTCATTTTCACACTGGGTAAGACCACCAAACAGAAACACATTGTGAAAAGTTCCTCAGAAGTTCTGACATGACAGACTTGGCAAGCTATTCCAATTGGATATCTCTACTTCCTAGGGGTTCTCACTTACACAGAATTATTTGGTGGTCTTACACTGAGAGAAAAAGCATTTGCACAGGGCACTTAAAAGATTTATTTCAAACCAATGGAATCTGTTATTAAAATTCAAGAGGGAAATTTAAAGGAATATTTGCCTTTTGGGAATTTTAAATGTCCAAAGAATACCTAAAAATTATTTCCAGATGCACCTGATTTTCTACAGAAGTAGCCAACAGAATATGCTCTTCATGAGATGTGCTAATCCTTTAAAACAGACCTGGGCATTGTACGGCCCACGGGCCACATCTGGCCCGATGGCTGACCATGACTGGCCCGCATGAGGTCACTGGCAAATTAAAAGTCAATGCAAATATATATCGTCATAATATATATGTAAACAATACAACTGCACTGCTTTTATTTTGAAGGATCTGCTAAATTGAATTGAATTTATTGCTTTTCATGTAATATGTTTTTGTGAATATTCATTAAATAGTGTTGTTCTGTGCTCCACATTTTCATTGTAATGTTTCATTTACTGTTTTTATAGAGTTATATATTGAGCAGAGCTGTAAGTGTATTGGTCCGGCCCTTAACAACTGTCAAAGTTTCTCATGTGGCCCCACAGGGAAATTAATTGCCCACCCCTGCTTTAAAATGTTACCTAGTACCAATATCCAACTGTATTTAATTGCAATACACTCAAGAGTTACAAAGATATCCACAATGCATAGAGACAAAGCTCACCTCCCTCTAGCGCAAGTGATTTATTCCCCCATTTTTAATATAGGCATTTTACTATAAAACCACTAGAATCTGTCAGTTTAAAATCAGTATGTTTCATGCATATGACAAGTACCTTAAGTAAGTCGCTCTTCCACTTGCTTGAGTAGACCAGTATGTCAGATCTAAAGTTAGTACTTATTGCTTGAGTATAAGATGGTTTTCCAGCTTTCTGCTTTGAATTCAGGAGGGAAAGAGCAACCTTTGTTGACAAACCAAGTGGATTGGGATTGTCAGAACTGATAGGCCAAGAAGAATAAACAGAAGACGTCTGGTCATTTTGTAACAGATGTACAGGCTTTCTTTTTAACAGGCAACACCATGTGAAATTTGTTGCAGTCTTCAAGCTTGGAAAAGGTAATTGTTGCTTATCACCTGCATTTATGATGGTCAAAACTGCTCCAGATTTTGCTTGGCTGTGGATACTGGGTTGCTTATTCTCATTGTTAACTCCTGGGGACAGCCTTTCTTGACTGTTATCCAAAACTTTTAGAAATGAAGTCGGTGTATTCAACAAAACAGTTTCACGAGGGTTTCTGGCAGCAAAGCCTACAGTTTCAGAAGCTGGTAGGTTATGTTCTAAAGGTTCCTTTATGAATGAAGAAACCCCAGAAGAAGATTCAGCTGAACCTTGCAGCAAACCATCTGGTGAATGGCTGATTCCACTGCTTTTTTCCTCTTGATCTAATGAGAAACTTTCAAGGGGCTCCATAGTGCAGATCTGCCGCACTAAGAGTGGTTTCTTCTGTTTATTAGCTTCGCTGGTTTTTACATTCATCAGTGGATGCAATGACATAGCACCTGTTGTGCAAGCAGCTCCACTTTCGTCTTTAACCCGCTTCTGCTGTTTTTCCATGGCAATGTCTAAACTATTAGCTGGGGAGAGCATGCGCTTACTTGAGGCTGTGGCTTCCTGTTGCGGGATGAGTCTACCAACTGGCACTTTCTGAATCAAATTTAAGGACCCCAGTGAAGTGGAGTCATAAATTGAGTTTTCAAACAGAGATGCTGGCTGTAAACTTGGCAAACAACGCAGATGATCTTTGTGGGATTTTGGCAGCTGAGTTTGACCTTTGACTGTTGGCACAGATGCAGGATCTGTTTGACAAAGAGACTGGTTTGCCTGATCCCGAGTCACTAAGATTTGAGGAAGGGGTGCAACAGTAGCTAAGCCGTAAGATGGGATATTACTGTGAATGCGCACAGGGACAATAAAGGGTGCCACCTGATACACTGGAGTACCACCATTATCTGGAACAGCTTGTTGCAAGGACTGTGCCACATATGGCTTGGAGGCGTTATCAGTTACTTTAGGATGTATTTCTAATGAAGCTGCAGCCTGTTCTGTGCCAGCTGTGCCTGGAAGACCTAGAGGGTATTGCTGTCCTACGTGCAATGCTTTCAGCTGAAGCTGGTATTTGGGAGCAAAACAATCCTCTTGCACACTGTGCTGACCAGCAACCATGTTGATGCTTTTCTGAGTTCCAAGGGCTGGTCCTTTAAGGGATGTTTGGGAAGGCTGACTGAGTGAAGTCTGCTGACCATGACGATTCAAACTAGAGCCTATAGACTGTTCACTAGAAGGCAAGTTAAGAGGGTTGCTGTTTTTCACTGAGTCTCTTAAAGGCTTGGCATAAGTTTGGGGGTGCTGTGAACGTGAAGGAACTTCCTCAGAAGGCTTCCTAGAACTTTGCAACCTTGGAAAGGGCACTGTAGAGATATCTGTTGCAGGAGCTGGTTGAAAGGACATATTTGCCATGTCAGGCTGGTTCTTTTCTGGGGCAATATTTAAAGATATCTGCCTTACAAGGGGTCCTCTTCTCCTTTCCAAGAGAGGCACATGTCCAGCAGCACCACTACCTGAAGCTAATTTGGACGTGGGTGTCTCCGTAAGTGAGGCAGGCCCAGATGGCGCCACTCTTCCACAATCAAAGGACTTGCTTCTGTAATCAGCAACCTCTATGGATGGCTGGGTGCAATTGATTTGTTCAGAAGCTGCCCGTCGCATTTCTCTGTAATGAGGGCTAGGCACACTAAGTGTATTGGAACTTGCAGGAATTGTAAGGAATTCCTGGGATTTGTTAGTAAGTTCTGGTTTGGAAGCACTCTCATTCTTAAACGTATCATCTTTATCAAAAGAAGCTGAGAAACTAGAGGTGCATGATAAACTACTCTCCCGACTGAGACTTCTAGAAAGTGTTGACTCAAAGCTTGACTCGGCGGAGGAGTGCTCAATTTCAGCCAAGCGAATTCTTTTCTTTTTGGGTGGAAGCTTTTCTGTGGGCAGCTTTGATAGAGTTTCACTACGCTGAGGCCAGTTAAACTTTTCTGTCTTCTCCTGATCGCTGCACTGGCATTCCTGGTCCCGATCCGGCTCTTCTGTGACTAGTATTTCAGGAACCTGGATGTTATGTTGGCGAACAAGTCTTAGAGGTTGCACTGTGACATTCCTTTCATTAGGAGTAACTTGACATTCATGAAGTTGAACTCTTGATGCTTCTACTACTTGAGGAGCATGGGAAGCACTCAAAATGGGATGCTTCTCCTCTTGAGCTATAATAGTATTCAAGCAATGGAGCTTTGCAACCTTGTTAGCATCCTGAAAGGAAACCGGGGACACACTTTCAAAGGAATCTGATTTTTCAAATGAACTTGGCCTGCTTAAGGAGTTAGTGTGCTGTATGACTGAAATCCCAGCCCCTTGCCTTTTCAGTTCATTTTTTTCTTGTGTAGCTGTAACAGCCTGCTTCTCCCCATGCAGCAACATCTTTGATTCCATGGTCTGCTCCAGGCCACCACGAGTTTCCAGGTCATCTTGTGCCAGTTGCTGGAGCGAAATACTGCTTGAGCCGAGAACAGCAGCAGAATGTTTAGCGACACTGGCCATACTTCCAAGTTTATTTTGACACTCTGACTCTGCTACACTCTTTGACAAACTAGCATCAGTTGTTTGTGGTTCATCATCATCATCGCCAACACTCTTCATTTTCCTCCTTTTTCTTATCTGAGATGTCTGCTCCCACACACCAGTTGAAGTGGCAACACGATAGTGAAGGATTTGAGGTTGTGCACTGTTCACGACTGTCTTATGTTCAGAGTCTCGAATAGCTGCCTTGGTTTTTGGTCCATGCAACTCTGAACAATAAAACTTTTTATGATTCTCAAAGTTTTCCAGTTTTCTGTATCTGTTTCTACATGTCTCGCATTCAAACATTGTCCCTCTCCCTTGAGGTGGCTTTTTAATTTTATCCAAATTTGATCCTTGTACAAACGACTTGCTTCTAGTCATTAAGAATTCATTTGATGTATTGCCTCCATAGCTTTCATCTACAGATCTTGTTGGTCCAAAAGTGTGTCCCTCACTGGCAGATGAATCTTCTATTGCTGTTTGCCGAACAAGGGTGCGAGGGTGTCCACCTTGCAGCTGTAGTGTAGTAGGTCCTGGCACAAAGACATCATCATATGAGGAGCCAATCTTTTCATCAAAAGACTGACTTCCACGTAGAGGGTGGGGGGGAGGTACTACATTTGGAGCTACAGCTGAGTAACTGGTAGTAGGCATAGAATTACTTCTGGTTATAGGTAAACAGTCTAGGGTTGGTACAGACAGGAGAAACACCGGCTTTGACTTTTCAGTCGGTGTAAAAGGAGATTTTGGTATATCAGAGCTTGAGCTAGTTCTTCTGCCCATTGGTTTTAGGTCAAATTGGAAGGAATCTTTAAAAATATAGGACTTTGGAGAGTCAATGCTGCCTCTTCTTGAAAGGGATGTTCTCCGTGGCTTGACACTATCCAACTGTTTATCATCCACTACAGCCTCATTATCTGATATTAACTTTGAAATGCGTTCTTCAAGTGTCTTTGTAGCCAAAGGTGGTCTCATCTGGCCCGATGAAAGCAAGGTCTTGTCAGCACTAACAGTCTGCACAACAGATGCCACAGGGGTGCTCATTCGTGGCACACAACTTTTACTCGAGTCTTTCTCAGAAGCAGGCAATCCCTTCGTAAATGGCACCGGAGGGCTCATGGTCTGATCTGTACTTTCTGAACGTGAAAAGTAGCCTGAATCAGTACTTCCCAAACTTCTAGGGCTCAAAAGACATTTTCCTTGTTGATCCTGAGAGCAATCTGTTGCCTGCTGTCTTTGCAGCTGTGCATGTATTACTGTGCCGGTAAGCGTCCCAAGCTGTTCTTCAGAGGTGCTTGCTTCTGATTTTGGATGCTGCTTAGCATCGGACTCCTTTATGAAGTCTATGTGTGCTAAATTTGGCTTCACATTTGTGACTTTCAAGTCTCCTTGCTGTACTGCAGTTGAGTCTTCTACTTTGGGGCTACTGGACCTTAAAGGGGAAACATTTACAGGGTAAACTATCACTTTAGGTAAAGCTGTCCTTGCTGGTGCAGCTGAGTCCTGAAACAAGGAGTCGCCCAACATGTATTCTGGGTTGCTTAGCGAGATGGGACTATCTTTGTGCGATGGTTCAGAATTAGAAGGGATTTTCACTGTGTGTGCAGCTTCCAGTTCTAACGACCCTTGGTCATCTTGCCTTTCATCAGCCGTGCCTTCATCATCACTGTCACCACTTTCTTCCACATCTGAATGGATGCTAAGTGTTTTGTCTGATTCATGGGAGAGATATAGCCCACTAGAATCTGGCTGGAGAACAAGTCCAAGTTTGATAGCATGGGCGTGAGACTTTTTGTGCTTGTACAGATTACTTTTGGTCTTAAATGAAAATCCACATGTCTCACAAGGATATGGTCGTTCTCCTGTGTGGGAGCGGATGTGCTTTTGGAGAACACTGGGCTTGGCACAAGCCCTGCTACAATACTGACAGACGTATTTCCCCAGTTTTTTAGGCTTCTGGACTTTCAGAAGATGACATATTTGTTCTACACCATGACTGACAACTGATGCTATTTGGGCAGAACTGTACAAAGGAGCAATTGGTAACTGGGGGGTGGAGCTAGACGGATGAACCAACAAAGGAGAAGATGATTTTGCTACTAGTTGATTTTGAGAAAAAGCCTGAGTAACAGGAGACTGGGGACTAATTATTGAAGAGGTTACTGCTATGCTGTATACATGCTGGAGTTTGAGTTTTTCTTGATTCTGTTGCTGTACCAGTGAATTTGTGAAGCTAGGGCATGCAGCAATTTGTTGGCTTTGTTGCCCGGCTTTAGTAAGAACTTGATCTTGTGAGTGAACAACTGAGTGCATTTGTGCTTGTTCACTCGTCCCTGATGTTGCTACATGCACAGTCTGTGAAGTGCTAGGATAAAGTTGAGATCCAGCTACAAATTCTTGCTGCAACAAAGCAGCATGACTTTGGACAGTTGGTGTATTGGATGCAAGACAATAAGAGGCGCTTATAGTTTTATTTGGTCTCAGTTTTTCCATTTGCATCCCACTAGAAGGGCACTCTTGTGCTAAGGTGTTCAGCTCGGGTTCCATAGCTTTCAGTAAGACATCAAATGCAGTATTTGTACATGAGGATGAATTACTACAATTGACGAAATTAATACATTCATTACTGTTAACCTCGGCTGTACTTGAAGGATTAGTGGAACCTTTCTTCACTGGTAAATTTAGTTGGGCTGAACCATAGTCTTCTACTGGCCATTTATTCAAGTCCAACGACTGAGGTAACAGAGACAACTTGGTGGGCACAGAAGTCTCAGGTAGGGATGTTTTAATGGCTACCTCACTGCTAGGGGTCCCCTCGTTTTGCTTGTTTTGCTTCCCATTCTGTGTAAGCAAACTGTGTACTTCTTTTAGGAGCTCTGAAGTATCAGGGAGAATATTTGACGATGAAGAAGTGTCTTTCACTTTTTCTTTAGGTTTTGCCCGAGCTGGAGTTCTCAGGGGTGATTTGGGTATTTTTGTCTGGTGATTCTCTGTTACTATCTTTTTGCGCTTCACACCTTTAACTGTGTCTGTACTCCCTCTTGTAGCTGCCTCGGAGATGTCTGCACAAATGCAAAGAGATAAAGTCACATGGTGATTGTGCAAACGTCAGTATCATTTACACAGCATATTCAACATACAAAATATTATACAGGTATTATCTTGACTTTGTGGGATTAGTAGCCACTTAAAACGATTATGTTTTGTGGTTTAGGGAATGAAGCTGAAAGAGGTAACTTGACCAAGATCATTTGTCTCCAACATATCATTTTGTAGGACCAAATATAATTGATTTGAACATTTACTTCAGAGTCTATACCCTGACACACAATGCTTCATTTCTAGAACATGATACTTAAGCTTCCTTTAAACCTATGAATGTTCAACAAAGTACCTATTTTTCAGTATTGGTTATTTCATTTTTACCATGCTTTTATTCAGTACTACCTTATAAACCAATTGCCTGGTTAACGGATATGAATGCAATTAATAAAAATGAATTTTGGCTCAACAGTTTTCTGTAACATAGTCTTCAACTGTGGATAATTTGAATATTTTACTATTTTTCAAGCACAGAGTTTTCCAGGCAGCTGGAATAGTTCCATGTCAATCTTCCCAGAGCAGGTGCTTTCCAGATGTTTTATGCTACAGCTCTTAGCATTGCTGACCATTAGCCATGTTGGCTAAGGCTAAGGGATGGTACCTGGTTGGGGAATGCTGTTCTTCATAATCTATCTAAAAAACCCCTTACAAGTTAGATGCAGAAGGCATGAAATACTGTTGCCAATTCAGTTCTGTGATATCTATGTCTGAGGAATGGCTAGTGGGGAACTTTGCGTGGATGATTAAAACATTTTTCTAGAACAGCTGACTTATGCAAGTTGCTCATGCAGTGTACTATGAACCAAATTAACTGTTGACTCACTCAGCTACAATCAGCTGCTGTTCCAGGCACCACAGAGACTTTGGACTAGCATACTTGCTCTCTGCCTATGACGACTCATGGCTTGGAGTATGGACTACACAAGCTGTTGTATGATGGTTCAGAGTATGGACCCTCCCAGATCTATGATTCTTTGAATCCACCTTTAACTGGCAGGGCTATTCTAAGCAAGTTGGATGATGTTTTATCCAAACAGATGGATCCAAATCCATGAAAACTACTAACAGAGCACTATACTGCAACCAGGTTTTCATTTGGGAACAGGAAAAATGGGTTTATCTTTTGGGCTCTGTATTTTTTCAATGATTTATGAAAGAAATAGCCTTTTTGTTGATGCTTTACTGTATATAGCAAATATCAGTACAGTCATGTTTTCTTCTACATATTTAAGACAGAATTGTCAGGAAGTGATAAATTAATACACACAGTGTTTTCTCTCTCCCATTGTCAAAACAATCCCAGCTCTGCTGGGTCTGGCACCCACAAGTGATTTACTGAGGAGGCTTCAGCACTGAGAGATTTAAAGCATATGCACTTACAAATGCTACAGTTTTCTTCAAGAATTATCAACAGAAATGAGCCTCTCCGTGCAGTTAAGGGGCAGAGAGCCAAGATCCTGAATAAGAATCCAAGGTCTTATGCCACACGACAAAGAAAGTTGTCAAGGCATAGGGTCTGGATTGGGAAAGATCTGGAACTCTACCAGGTGGGTCATCCATGGGGCCCTCTATTGGCAGAGACAGCTAACCGCTTGCAGGAAGGCTTGGCCACAGCAAATATAATTGTGGGCAACCCGACACTGCTGGAAAACTGTGAATCCTGGTTGCCCTGAGATGCAATCTATTTCAACCTAGGGAACATGCATTGTATGTGCAACACATAAGAAACAAAGCATTCAGAGCAGTAAGAACAGGTGGGAGAGGGGGGATTTTATGGATCCACTCAAACAAGAGAAACCTGTCTGAAGCTAAGGCACCCAACTTATCATAGGATAATTAAATTGGAGAAACTGATACTCATCTGCCTTTCATTTATTTTATCTGTGTAAGTTAGGCTGTAATCCAAGTTAGTGGGAATAGACAACAATTCCCCAGACATGTTTGGCTAAGTCTAGTAACCAGTAAAAGCAACACTTAAGTATTTAAATACATGTTGAAGTATTAGTCATCCTTTGGGGCCTATTACTGTCAACATGGTATTTTAAAAACACATGTACTTAAAACATCAAACTATCTGGAGCTTATGCATGTTGTATTCTTTATTGTGTCCTAAAGAAAGTGCCAGTGGTTACCCTAGACAACTAATTTTTATTACATTCTAACAAAATGCCCATCACTACAAGCCATGTGTGTGGAAGCAGGGACTGCACATTGCGAATGTCACAATGCGTATCTGGAAAACACATTGTATTTTCCTGTGCAAGTCCCGTCACTGGTGACTAGTCAGCCCATCCATGGAAATTGACAGTCTGAGACTGCTAAGACAGTGCATTTGAGATGGTGTCAGGGACAAACTTCCAAGTTGTTAATGGAAAAGAGCCAACAAAGGGTGCAGGGAGTGGCATGAGTGCACCGAATGGCGCTTGAGATGATATCTCCCACTTTGGGTTTGAACAGACAGGAACATATGCACAGTTTTTTGAACTGGAAAATAGATGCAAGTCTAACAGAGCAGCTGGTGATTTTGAGAAATATTGAAATAGTGGGGAATACTCAGAACTGTCAGAATGAGACTTAAAGGCCAGAGGATCACTCTACCAAGGGATGGAAACCAAGGGGGAAGGAGATGAAGAACTACAGGAGGCTCAGTCATCTGTCAGGTGTGCTGTGGATTGTTCCATAAATAACACACTGCTTAGCTTATTCACAGGACCATTTAGTGTGCCGTGTGAACTGACTCATACAGGTCAGGTTTTGTCCTTAAACCTGGTAACTACTTGTAAAGACAAAAGACTAAGGGAATAATCCTATGGCCCTTAGCAATTGTCTGCAGATCCCAGGGTGAGATGGCACCCTGACTCCAGAACTGAGAATTAGGGACCTGTCCCCCCTTCTCTGCCCCCTTACAGCCAAGAGCTTGCCACAAAACATTAAATCTTGCCAATCTGTCCCAAATAATTCAGGTAGTGAGAGAAATATATTATCCAAAGCAGCTTTCTTAGTCTATAGAGGGTCAAAGAAAAAATAGGGTGACTTTTTATGACTGAGTAAACAACAATGACCATCAGCAATTCCCCCCAACAGATTGCTTACGTACTTTCTACTCTTATCCCAGCACCAAGTATAAAACTAACTAGGCCCTATTAGTGTCTATGGAGCAGGGGAACAACTTTGGTCACCTTCTAGTTCAAATAAATATTTTGTAACGCATTATGGAAAGGCAAGGCACTGCTATAGGCTTGAAATACTCGGTGACCTCATGCATAGATGATTAATTGTGTTGAATTTATAGTGCTGCCCAGGAGCAGGGAGAAGGAGATAGTGGTGTGTTTTACCTTTCTGTGGGTCTTCAGTTTCATTAAGTTCTTTTTGTGCTTCTTCAATTTTGTCTAAGGAAAAAGAAAGACATTAAAACTAGAACTTGTCTTATTTTTAACATAAATGCTTTTCACTGTTTTTACCTAACGGCTGTTGACTTTATAAAAGATTTGTGACATTACTGTTTATCCATTCATATATACTGTACAAAGTAGGTATACACTAAACCATTTAAAATGCAATAGAAACAAACACAGACAATTAAAGACAAACCATTACCACCTTTACTTCTAGCTAGAATTGCTGGTCCAAAGAAACAGGGCTTAACAACTTGATTCATATGTAACAAGAATCCATGGGTGAAATTCCCCATGGGACTCCTTGTTGTGGCAACCACTCTAAATATCCAAGGTGTGGTAGGGTGGGTTGTTCGGCTGTTTGTCAAGGCACTAAAGCTACTCATGGTTTCCAGGTGGCTAGTCAACCACCCAAATAACCTACTTTTGCTGGGTTCACATGTGCTGAAAAGTTATGGTGTACCTCTACACCCTATCCCGTTATTTGTTTTTCGGCGCCAGGCGAAGACCTTTTTATTCAAGCAGCATTTTAAATGTTAATATTATTGAATTTTTCTGGCCAGGGCAGCTTATTTTATATTGTATATTTGTAATTTATTTTAAAATGCTATTTAATTTATTTGTTGTAAGCCGCCCCGAGGCTTCGGCGAATGGGGAGGCATAAAAATGTTTTGATAAATAAATAAATAAATAAATAAAAATCCCTAATATTCAAAATGGTGACCACTGTCTCAGTGAAAAGCCGCACGGTGAAACTAACTCACAGTGCCTTCTCAGGTAATGCACACTGGGTCATAACCCCAGAAAAATACTTATGCTATAATGAACACCCAGCAGAGACAGTTACCAAGACTTATGCCCTTCATACAGAGTGGGATTAATGACTCCTTGAAATAATGTTAAAAATCATGTGACAAACAGAAAAAAATTGGTTTCCAAGGTAAGTAAGTTTTAAGCCATTTACACATTCAGTTATTCATGCTTAAAACTACTAGGGTAAATGCTTCAATGTCTATGTCTTAAAGTTTATATCTTCCAGAATGCAGAGACCTTATATCTGCCTCTGCAAGAAAATATCACCAGATGTCAAAACTGCTAATAAGACACAAACAGTGGGAAGTAGAACACAATAGTACTCTTTTGTACAGCCTGGAAAATCTGCGTGAGCATAAGTTTTAAATTACTGCCTCTTTTTCCCTAACTTTCAAACAGAACAGGAAAACGCAACTTTTAACACAACCTTCCAAATTTATTTAAGAAAAGATTAGTTGTAAGTACAACTCACAGCTTATCAGTTACTTAAGCTCCTTATTACAGTTAACTTACTCTTACAGTTGTCAGTGTAACCCATTATATTCTGCATCTGCTGGCTAAGATTTTAAAAACCCATTAAAATATTTCAATATCATCAGAGAGATCCTTACATTTTTACTAATCAGCCTCTCCCTTACTACATTTAAGCTCCTGATCTACTAATTTTTCCCAATACTATTCTCATCTACCTTGGCACTGTGCACTACCCTGACTGGCCTTGCTATATTAACCTACTGATCTAAACCATCATACTGGCCTGCTATTTCTGGCAAATACTTTTACAGGGCCTCTTCCTTCCTGGGACTTCCTTTCTTAATTACTTTCCCACTATCCTTGTGAAAATGTTTTAACTTTAAACTGCCCTCTCTCTCCACTGTTCTTGGTATGCCATGACCACGCAGATGAAACATACCGCTTATGGAACATCATTCATGACACAGTTGGATGGGAGCTGGGAGTGGGAGAATGGTAAGTGATGGCACCAGCCAGGATAGAAGACAAGGTGAACATTAAAAAAAAACCTAACTGGGTCTTTTTCCAGAGCATTTCCAGATTTTGATCCATAAATCAGAAGCAAATATTAGTTTGCACAGATTGAGCTTTGTCTCACTTTACTGTTCTGCAATGAGAACTTCTAGTTAGTCCCATGGAGGAACATGAAACTCATTTGCATGTGTGTGCCACATCTTTGCAGCTTAGTTCCTCAGCACATGTTTTATCAGTAAAGTTCCAGTCTCTCTCTCCCTCTGTCTCTCTCTCTGTAGATCATCATGCACATTTAATATTCTATGGTAAAGAACAACAGTGGCAGCTTTTGGAAAACCTTAAAATAAAGCTAGCCCAAAGCATCTTCATTAGGTCATATAAAGTATGAGGCACCCAAATTGCCCAGTAATTGTTTTTCAAAACTGCAACTGCATTATTCCTTATTGTTTGATTTGCCAATAGCCAACTCATCTCATCCCCATGACAACCATGGAGACAGGTTGCTATCATTTTCAGATCACCTTCCCATGACTTACAGATTTGCTTAACGCTATCCAACGAATCCCCGTCTAAGCTGGAATTTCATTCAAGCCCAATAGTCTTTCCTAGCATCACTACTTGTGTTCTACATTTGTATATCATAACCACTGAGTAGTGTGAGACTTCCCATTTCCTGCATATGTTAAAATCTGCAGTTTTATTCATTTAGATTACACATTTAGTGATCATGGCATAGTGAGGAAGACTCTTGAACGTTTTGAATTTAACAATGAATATATACAAAAATGAACAGTGAAGATAGATACTGCCTACGAACCAAATGTTTAAAATATAATATGCAATAATCAAATCCACCTCCACACCAACCTGCTGCAAACTGAAATTTCAACAAAAGGGAAAAATGCCTCAAATATTGATACCCACAATGCTTCTAAATTTCCACAGGCATGAAGGGTAGACAGCAGTATCATATGCCTATGCATTCCAGATGACTTTTGATGGCTGTTGAGAAACTCAATCTCAATTTTTTAAAAATGTCAGGCTACCATGGTTTTAACATGATTTGCCTGACACATCACTTGAACCTAGCCATAGTATTTTATTTATTTATTACATTTCTATACTGTCCATAGCCAAAGTTCTCTGGGTGGTTCACAATATTAAGTCACCCATCCAGATTTCAACTAGCCTCAACCCTACTTAGCTTCCAAAATTAGGCAGAATCAGGCACTTCAGGCTATACAGAGGCTATTTCACACTATTTGCTTTGTCTGGAAAAAACCAAAGAAAGAAACAATGGCCTGTTGTATAGTTTATGCTTGCCATTATGATTTCTTCTGACATCCATACCCAGCAGTGTAAGTTTTATCATCAGTGGTACTGCATACCAGAGTTCAATGGACAGACTGGTAAATGAAGAGACTTCTTCATTCATCCAGTCTCTATACCTATGCCTACCTAGTAGCAGAACATGGTTGCTTGTTTTTTTTACATGTTAGACAGTGTTCCCATCCCCCTCCAACTGTTCTACTTTCACTCTAATTTCCCCTTGTTTTCCAGCTGCAAGGAACTGTGCAGCAGTGCCCAGCTGACTGATCTCAAAATTGGTCTCTTTCTTTATTGTTACCTTCCCACTGCAGTTTCCTAAGATTCCACCTTCCTTGGTTTCTTGTAGTTTTGATGCAACAGTATTGGCTGTTATCTCTAAGGTGATAGCCTCATATGGAGCTTTAAAAAAGCTACACACTGTACATTAAAGAGGCATATTTTCCAAGACTAGAACCCCTATCCAAGTGTGTGTGTCTCTCTCTCTCTTTTAACAATCCTCCATTAATATGTTTCTTACATTACACCGTAGGCATGTACATTCACCCCTCCAAAAACCTAGATGCCCTTGGGGAGCAGAAGCCCTGGATTCTATGCGTGTAAGGATTTTAGACCCAAATGGTAGTTTCTTTGGAGAAATGCATACATTAGATGACAGATTGTGGTTGTGCAGGAGAACCCAAGAATGACAGTTGGAAACTGGAAAAAGGAAAACATACTCTGGGAACTTAGCAAACCAATCAGGAAGAGGCAGGCAACGTAGCAAGGAAATGAAATATATTGTGGGATACATGCCAATAGCGGGGGGGCATAGTAATGAATAGACCACTTGATCATTTATTGGGTAGACTGTGGTAACCCCACCCTCACACATCGTGTTAACTGTGCAGTGTTGTTGCCATTGCATGTAAACCTGCCCGTCGAGTGACAGCTTGTTCCTTGGACAACAATCTAATATAAAACCCGCATACCCTGGGGTAGTTTGCATCTCACGTCTGGTTTTGAGTACTCCACTATTCTTTGCCTGCAAATCCCCCACTACTGAAACATGCTGAGAGCAAGCGTGAGGGTGGGCTTTAGCAAGCATTCCCAGGGGATACTGTGTCACTATTGCTGATTCGGATTCCAAAGATGGAGAATATTTCATTGAAACTGAGGGGCAGGAGTTTGCACAAGATCCTGAGATGCAACAGGATGCGATATTCTTTATTTCTCAGTATCATGCTGCTGATGCATGTTGAGTTTCTGCGTACTATGACCCGACATTTCTTCAAATTCCCCATCTTAAACTTCTGCATTCGCTCTATCAGCCTCAGCAAAAACATTTACAATAAGCAACAGTGGCAGAGCTCCCTATTTGTTGCTGTTACCCATTTCTGGCTTTAAGTTTGGATGTTGGTTGATGCTGACTGGTTATGCAATTGGTATTGTTCTTTTTATTTCTTCAGGTAACCTGTACTATGTTTAAAACTGATAACTATTTACCAATTCTAAAGGATGGTACTGAAATTTGAGGTCACATATGAACTGAATTACAATGAATTTGTTATACTATTACTTATGACCGTATATTGTGTTACTACAAAAGTACATACAGCAGCTTCCATAATATTAACATAGAACAAAAGAAGATTAAAAGTACAATCTAAAAGCAAGATGAACAGCAAAACCAACAGTTACAGAAACAAGCAGAAATTCACACAAAAAACTGGCAATCATGGGACTCTTCCCTCTTCTAGCTCTAATATCTTCTACCAGCCTTACTCAGATTTCCTCTTACCCAAGTTGTGAAACCAGGATAGGCAATGAACTCCATACTGAAGAAAAAATTATTACAGTTAAATTTAGTGCTTATATAACACAAAAAT